GAGAGAGAAAGGAACAGAGACATGACTCTGGGCCTGTGAGAGAAAACAGAGGCACACAAACCCAACGCCACCTCTAAGGACCCACAGACAGACAGACATAGATGGACATTTGTACAGAGTCACACATCCTGATAACGGTGCTCAGAGCCACAAATACATACTTTGGAGAAATCAGACCAACAGAGATGCTCATCCTGTAAATACATCCTGATCCACCAAACAGGCCCCACAAACACACATTCAGACACACATTCAGACACACAAACCATGAGGCCATAGACGCTTATCTACAAACAGATGACCAGACACACAGATCAGCGTAGGTAAACACAACCTAGGAACAGAGACACAGACATAAACACCTGACACACCCACAGTCACACAGACCTCTAGGCAGACACACACAAATAGGCTGCACAGAACTGGACATACCTACAGACAAGGAGTTATGCCTGGGCCTACTTGCAAACATTGCACCCCACTGGGGAAGGGGGAGGTAGTCAGATTCCCCACCCCATCTTGGGCCCTGAGGCTGGGGGGTGTCAGGAGGGCAGGGCTGGGATGCTGGAGAAAGGGTAGGGGCACTCTGAGTTGGGTATTAACAATACTACCATCCAAATATCTCCATCCCCTGCCTTCCCCTTCCAGTTCTTCGCCTGGGCCCGGGCCTCCGTCCACTCCTCATCCTGCGCTCTGGCTCCTCAGCGATCGTCTCCGCTTCCCTCGCTGATAGCTCAAATCACCTTCTTCCTCCTCCGGGATTTGGGAGGCCCCGGCTACCTTCTTCCAGTCCCCGCCCCTCAATCCCACCCTGGTATCTCCAGTCTGGCTCCGTAGCTACCTTTAGGGCTGCGGCCTCCATACCTGCCTGGTTTCGCTTCCCCCAAACACTCTCCTGCGCCTCAGCCTCACCTCTCCTCCCAGGCGCCCCTCCTCACTGCCGTCCTCTCCCTTCCTTGTCGATTCCAAACCTGGCCGGCTGCATCCCGCTCTCCATCCAAGGGCCCCAGGTTCACGGGCACCCCTCCCCTTCCCCTTGTCCCGCTATCCTGGGTTTCTCCGTCTCTCAGTCCGCCAATCCTCCCTGCCCCTGATTCCCCCCATTCCACCTCCCCGCACCAAGCCTCCCCAATTTCTACATAACCGTACCTGCCCTGCCGGACGCCGGCCCCCCCATGCCGGGCTCCGCCCGGAGCAGGAGGAGGGAGGAGGAGAGACAAGAGAGAGACTGGGGGAAGCCGAGCTGGGGAGCGGCCGCCTGGCTGGGGTGGGAGGCACGGGGGCCACGGAGTCCTCGGAGGACTCGGAGAAAGGTCGTGGGGCGCTGGGAACCCGGCGCCAGCCAGCCCCCGCTTTAGGGCGTCCGCTCCTCGCCGCCTCTCGCCCGGTGCCCGGCCGGGCCGTGCTCCGTTCGGTGGCCAAGGTCCCCGCGGAACGAAGCCA